CCATCAGCGCGTGGAGATGTTTGCCGTTCAGCGATCAGATGAAAATGAGCTCCAGGCAAAATTTCTCCCGGCATGCTTTGCGAGTCGTGTCCAACACCGCCTGCTAATATACCTTCATTTATGGAATGATATTACCAAATTACACTGCTGTCAATTATCTTAGGAATATCGAAGGAAACCAAAATTTTCTGAGAGTTAAAAGGTCACGCCACCAGTTTGATCCAGTTTGTTTGTGTTTATATCTTCTTTCTTAGTCTAGTTTTTAAATTTTATAGTCTAGTTTTTCAATTTTCAATTTTATAGTCTAGTTTTTGTACTTTTATTGAATAGATAATATATTTAAATTTTACATTTTAATTTTAGCAAACACGTTCACATTCAAACGAGCCCCAGGCTCACTGGTGAAATGTGTCTAAATAAAGTACTTACTCCCAAGGTCCTTTCATTTGTATGTCATAATTTTGATATGTGCAGCGTAAATCTCAATTGTTAGTTGCACAACTTTGAACTTCAGAATTTATTGGTTATTGAAAGGCACAAAGGTTATTTTATTTTGTGTAAACCTGCTACAGTCCTTATTTTGCTGTTTGTAAACCTCTCGTTGTAAGAAGTGTCATAAGATAATGTTCTGGTTCTCAATACCTTCCTATTTTATTTGCTGATTTTACAGACATTATGTGTACTTTTGTTTGACCTGCTGTGTAGTTTATTTGTCTACATTGTACTAAGATTTAACGCAATATTCTGTTTGCTTTTTACAGAGATTTTATTGAGATTATGTCTTACGGCTTTTGTAACCGTTCCTTTTGTACAGGCTGATTTTGCAGAGAAAATGTGGAAATTTTGCAGAGATTTACACCAATAAAATGCTTACATCTTACAGACATTATGTGTACTTTTGTGTGACATTGTGTGCAGTTTATTTGTGTAGATTTTAATAACACTTTATGATATTATTTTAACTTAAACTTTACAGACATAATACGAAGATTTTATGTTTTCGATTTTACAGAGATTTTTCTCCTGCCCTTTTTACAGAGAAAATGTGGACATTTTACAGAGATTTCTTTAAATGCCATAAAATCTCTAAATTTTACGAAACATTTACAAGAAAAATAGCAACATTTCGTGGACATTTTATGCGATCTGACCGCGAAACATGTACTAAAATTTACAGAGTTTTAACAGAGATTACAAAATCTCTGTAAGTGTGCAAATTTACAGACAATGAAATTTACAAAGGAAATGTTGACATTTTACAGAGTTTTAACGAAGTCTGTAAATGGCTCAAATTTTCCAGTGCTAAAGCGTAATCCCTTCTACCCCTGAAGACAGAAAAACTCTTTTGTCAATCAGGTTCTCGATAAAAAGGCTTGTAACACACGTTTCTGGCTAACTGATAGCTTAACCTTAGGACCTACAGGTAAACCCATAACCCCATCGTGCAGGGTACAGGGGAAGGAGGGAGGTTGGATGAAACCTCTCCTCTGGGATATGCAATGATGCTAAATAAATTTGTCACTAAATAGATAACTCTACCTCATTCATAGACAAGGAACAGCAAAAATTTATTTAGCAAGAGGCAGAAAGGTTGTAAGTTCAGTAGGGATTTTTGCGGAACCCATTTTATTCTGCTGCGAGAAATTCCATTTTTACAACAACAAAAATGTGGAGTAACACGTCCAGAAAATGATTTTAAGTATAATAGTACAGTGAGAAAAATTTTACCAGTAGTTATGAAGTTTCCATTGGTGTTTTTCGGGGTAAATAGTCGTGTATAGTTTGGGACGATCAGCTTAGCATTAACTTCCAAATTGTATGGATGGTGATTTAAAAGAGATAACACCATTTGGAAAAGGTTTAAGCATCTTGTGGTGTGTTATCGGAGCTCTCTGTTTCCTTCTTTCATTTAGTCTTTAGTATTCAGTCCCCTCGCCCTCGTCCTCTCGTCCCCTCTTACGTTTGAAAATAAAATAACAAATAAATCACTTTAATTAAGTATCGAAGTGTTTTAGCACAACTGTACTAATTGGGGACACTGAAACAAGTAAACATATTTTTAACTGAAAAGAAACTTGTTAAAAATCCCAAGTGGTGGGAAGCTGACCAGTTGGCCATTTACAAAGCGTAGAGGAATGGAATCTGGGACCACCAAACACAAATCCATCTACTAGGCAGGGTGGAGGATTTGACCTCGGGACCTCCAGATCAAAAATAGAGCGCCTTGAACCACTAGGCCACGCTGCCTCCATTTGGAAACACTTCAGACTATTTTACACATACCAGGATACACGTGTGCGTCTAAACATCATTAAGGCTGCCACAATGCTGACCAGCAGAAACACGCTACAGATCACCAGAAATGCAATGCTCAGACTCAACAACGTCTCTGTAAAACAAATTTAAAAAATGAAGAAATAGTCATACGAAGTCCTGCAGTAAAATAAAAGAAAGAAAAGTGACCTTGTAATTGGTAATATTTAGACAGGGATAGAGTTCATTTAGACTTGCCGTATGTCGACCTCATGAGTTTCAGGGTAGAATATCTAAGCGAGAGAAGCGAGCTGCGAGGTTTTAGGCCGCGAAGGACTTTTCTGAAAGGATAGAGCTCGTGTTCATAGCGGAGTGCTCGTTTTAGGAAAAAGTACAAAGGCTTCTTTTTTGTTTGTCTACTTTTCTTTGAGTCCCAAATAAGGTGTCTATTTCTCATAAGCCGTTCCTTGTTGCCAGCCTTTGAATACTGATTTCTCTGCCTGCTGGTATACCCTTCGCTAAATTTTGAGTACCAGTTTCAAAAATTAGTCGGTGAGACGTTGAGATTTTCGAGGCAAAATGTTTTACAGGCTGCACAGTATGGAGACCTTGGGAAACAGAGTGGATGCTGACTTCATTTTTGTTCACTAGTGCGGTGGAGAAACACAATAAAAGTTAGAGTGAGACCTACCATCTTCTTCTTTTCCGATGATGTACCGACCTTCAGTAAGAAAACAACAAGTCAGTGATTAGCCACTTACAGTATAAGAAATACACGAGCAGGAATTTTTTGGAATAGACGACATGGACTAACTGAGTTATAACGTGGCAGGAATACAGCTAGAATACATAGACTGCACGTCAGTTGCTAGTTTTACTTTCATTATCTCACAGAGAACATGAAAGGACACTGAGCTGGAATTTCAAAGCATGAAGGAGTTTTACTGATTTTGGCACGAATAATTGGCTGGCCTGTCAGTGCAATGCTAAAGTAACAAAATTGGCAAGCATAACTGCCTGTTATGAGCGTCCGTACAGAACTTTCTAACAATAGAGAGAATAGTTGCCTTGTAAAGACCTGTACACAGGTACGAACTGTTCGAACTGCTTTTTTTCTTTCAGACAGAGTTTTTCCCAATAAGCTAGTATAAACGACAACTGATGTTAGATTCGCTTTGCATGTCGGCCACGCAGCACATGGACATCGGCGGAAATATTCTCATGCTGATATAGATACAGCTATTTAAAAATTTAGCTTCGGTGTTGTTTTGCATGTTTCGAACTGTCAACTTCTTAGAAAGCGACAAAAATTACAATTCATCGTCTTATGAGGAAAAGGTGTTCTAGAACTGGAGATCTTTATTTGAGATAACCAATATTGACTGTAGTGGAAACTTATCAGGATATTTGTGAGGCAGGTACAGAAGTTGAATAATTAAAATTATTCACATGTCGTTCTCCATGTTCTTGAATCCTTTGCCATTCTATTTAGGTCGGTGAGGATCCGAGTCTCTTTACCGCCTTCACGGAGGCGTTTGAAACCCTTTTTAGTGTTATCATACGATTATTATATATAATATACACTGACAGTAATAAAATGTTCGTTAGTTCTAAAGATTTAACTCGCCTTCTGACACTCGTTTTGCCCATGTTTTGTCTAATTACAGCGAAAGAACGATGAACCTATTGTGGTCAGTAATGTTTATTCATAAATGCCTGTCTGTAAAAGGAAAATGTCTGACTGATAAAGACACAAACTTCTGAATTCCCAAGTTGTTTAGCCGGAAGCTTACTTTTAAAGGTTTGTAAAACCTTGTTTAGAAGAAAGAAAACAACAAGAACCAAATACCTGCAAATACACTTGGAGCAAAAGATAAGGCTATAGCGACACAAAGTCCAACAGCTTTGAAGTTGATCTTCATGCCCATTGCGCTTGATGAGAGTTACTTGTCTTCGACAGCGGGATGCCTGAACGAAACAAGAAGTCACGAGGAAATAAATCTCTTATTCGAAGATGGTGTCGTCTTTTTTCCACAAACGTTTCTTAGGGGGAAAGAAACTCAAAGAAAGGAATAGATTGCTCTGAAACATTCAAACATTAGACAATATTCCTTTCTATGACATTGTTCCGATGAAGCGAGGGTCTTAGAAAAGCGCCAATAAATTTTCTGCGTAACTGGTTAAATTCCCTTGAGTACCAAGCTGTTTAGTCTGAACACGTGACAGACGAAGCATCAGAGAGATTTTTAACAGGTATTAAAACTAACAGAAAAGTTAATTTTGTTTTGTTTTATCTTTGATCCTTTTGCCTTGCATTTATGCTACCATTTAACAAATTGACGTCAGTTTTTCATGCATCTGTCCTGTTATTGATCATGAATTTCGTCATAACATTGTCAAAGTAGTTGTGGATCCATGAGGCGATAGCCGAGTGGATTTGACAATGCTATGACGAAATTCATTGTCAATAACTGGACAGACGCATGAAAAACTGACGTCAATTTGTTTTTTACGATAACTTATATCAAATTGTCCGCTCTCGCTCGCTGACGCATCGCATAAGTTATAAATTCATGTGTCTGACTGCTTATTGACAATGAAAATTAGCCAGTGAGCGCGCGAGAATTCTGCAGTTATCGTAAAATATAAATGTGATGTTTGTTACAACTCAATATTGACTCAAAGCAGTTTACAGTCAAAACCTTTCAGTTTACTTTTTGAAGCTTCTGTCAAATTGACTCAACTTTCCAGGGTCCAATACAACAGGAAAAAAAAAAAAATTGAAAAAATATAGGTTTTTTAGCATTCCACTAAGCGTGGCTCTTCTATGCTAAGACCTATATATACAGTAATAAAAGAGGGGAACGCTTTGATATTTCCTGTTTGCTCGTAGTAGGATTATCTTTTAAACAGTTACGTTAAATTTAAGTTTATGCATGACTTAAGTTCGCAATATTGGAAACAACAGATAAACTGTAGCTGCTATTAACTTTTCTCCTTTCTACACATGCGCTAAAATGGCATAAATTATCCGAAAAGCTATTGCATCTATCTAGAAGTCTAGTGTACAGAGCTTTTCCATTCAGGGGCCAACAGCCATAAAACTTTGTTGGAATAAGATTGTATTTGGTAAAGAGCTCAACACAAACAGGATTGATTTACTGGACACGAACATGGTCGCCATTTCGTCCTTTTGGTACATCAATATGGCTGCTGTGACGTCATGTGAAAACGTTCTATTTTTATACATTGCTGATCTCTCCTTTTGTTTAGGAAGGTTTCTCGAGAGAGGAGAGGGATAGAACATGTCACATTCGCCTGCCAGCTAGGACAATCTGAAAGCATCCTCTCCCCACTCCTCTCAAAAAATCACCGGTCAAGAGTGGAATTACAAAAATGCCAGGTATTTTGAGAAACGAACAACAATATTATGTTAATAAAATGTTCTTAAACGGTTGAAACTCTTTATTCCTAATATCTTTCTGTTGACTCGTTGTTGAAACTGGCGAATATCTCGTATTTAATCCCTACATTCATGTATGGTTTGTCTGTTTTTTACTTCCAGTTGTTTAATTTTCTCTCATTCAATGTGGTTTAATTAGTCAGTCCTTTCTGTAGTTGTAAGTGGTATACTTTACGACGCTCGAGCCACACGCTGATTGATTTGCTCGAGGGGTTTAAATACTGGTTAAATGGAAGTTGATTGCAGAGGAATACCAGAAAAATGGCACCCTATTACCAATGAACAGAAAGGAAACTCTTTCGTTAAATGCTTTATTGTGCAAAACTGTGACTTGTACATAGTAAACATAACCTAAGGAAGGTCAGACATCATACCAAAAACTGAAGAAAATTCTGCTCTTAAAAAAACTTACAAAAGAAAGTTATACATTCAATGTTGAAAATCAATATGTTGCTTTGATTTAAAGGTTTAGTCCGGCAGAATTTTTTATTCTACAGTACTTGTCTCAAAGCAAATTGTGTGGTATTAAATGAAATACGTAAACATCTTTTATGCCAATGCAAAAGGAAAACCCTGCAAATAAAAAAATAAAGATAAGTATATCAATTAGTCAATCAATCAGTCAATCAATCAATCAATCAATCAATCAATCAATCAATCAGCCAGCCAGCCAGCCAGTCAGCCAGTCAGTCAGTCAGTCAGTCAGTCAGTCAGTCAGTCAGTCAGTCAATTAATCAATCTGTTGGAATAAAAGTAGGGTTGCATCAAGTTTACCTTGCGAGAACCACTCTACATCGGCGTTTCACAGTCTTTAGCTACATCCAGCCCAGAATTCATGCTAGTACTTTGGTAAGCAGAATTCTGGAAGGAACTCAGTGGCCTGTTTTTGAGTTCTGTCTCGCTGGCGTCCTCTTGACCGTTCTCCTTACCCTGTTTGTCCTTGTTGTTGTTTTGTTTGCCACGTTCCTTGGTGTTGTCCAAAGACTGATAAAATCCATTACTTGGCTCACTTAGCTGTGGAAGGCGAAAAGTGCAATTGAATAAGCCAAATCCGAGTTGCCTTAAGCCTGTCCATCAAAGCGAGGCCAGATGCAACACCATTCATATTTACACATGTTTACATTTTGACTCATTAGCATGGGAATTTGCGTAGAGGAGGCATCATGCTGGATATAAATTAACCACACAGAAATAAAGAGCTTGCAGAATTTAGTAGTTGGAGAAAGTTTTTGCTTTCTCGGGGTAGTATCGAAGGAAATGCCGGCTTTCAAAACCGGCAAAGCTGGGTAGCAAAAGTTCAAACGAGTACATATATCCTTTGAATTGTAAATGTTTGAGCTTTAAAACCTGGGTCACACAGAAAGTATTTAATACATTGGGCTACATGTATATTACAAAAGACAGTTTGCGGGACTCCTCTAAGATTTGTGCTGCTTTGTAGGCGACATTTGTAACTTATCAAACTAGTGTTTGAGCCTTTTGCGCACAAGAGTGCCAAAATACGACTTAAAATCAAGAAATCCCTGACGTTTATCTTAAAAATACTGAGTAATATTTGCATGCGAAGTTCGCCCGTCACTTAGAAAGGTGGATGTTGAAGTAATTTCTTTTCATGTTGAAGTAACATTGCAGGAAATCATTTAAACATCAAGGCCATGCAGATACGTTCTTCGAAAGAGTGACGGTAATCCGGGATACATTTGAGATCGGTCAACGTTAACCGAGTGTTTTCTTTCTTTCTTTATTTTGTGTTTATCTAATCCTAGATTAGCCTAACCTGAGGCCGCAGGTGAAGAGAAACACTTGTCTAAGGCAATGCTTAGCGCACGAACGGGGCCTCGGTTTCGGATTAATCACCACGTTTCAAATTCGAGCAAACTCACCAATGAAGCAATGAGGCAAGGATGACAAGTTTATGAATGAAGTGAGTTTTGTTTAAGGTATTACTGATCGATGGAGGCCATAGACCTTATGCAACAATTGCTACCATTGATCTCTGTTACGTGGTAACGTTTCCTCAACCACGTATGATACAGCGTCAAAAGAAATGAAATAATATACTTTCCAGAAAATGTAAGTGTTTTTACGTTAACGATGGCAAAGTTTTAAAACATTTAAATTGAAGACATTTGTATGAAAAAAATTACTATGCTCTGACTAGCCTCGTTTTCATGTTTTTAACGTAATATATGTCCCTGTAATTTCCAGTCAGATAGGAATATGGCTTTAAAACAAAAATATATATTTCTGTTGACAAACACTTCTTCTCGGTGACAAAAATTAATGGCAGCCATTTTTGCATTGGGCCTATTCCACTGAATTTATTGCATCATTTGCATGATATAAGCGACATCTTGTAAGCCAAGCTATCTCACCTTGAGCTGTTCATACTGTGCCGGCATGTTCTCTCCATTCTGCTTGCCAGAATACATGCTTTCATACCTAACATCCAAGTCCTCTAAAGCGTAATCCATACTACCCCTGAAGACAGAAAAACTCTTTTGTCAATCAGGCTCTCGATAAAAAGGCTTGTAACACACGTTTCTGGCTAAATGATAGCTTAACCTTAGGACGTACGGGTAAACCCATAATCGGCTCATCGTGCAGGGTACGGGGGGTGGGGGAGGGAGGTTGAATGAAACCCCTCCTCTGGGATATGCAATTTCGCTAAATATAGTTGTCGCTAAATAGATAAATTTCCCTTATTCATAGACAAGGAACAGCAAAAACTTATTTAGCAAGAGGCAGAAAGGTTGTAAGTTCAGTAGGGATTTTTGCGGAACCCATTTTATTCTGCCGCGAGAAATTCCATTTTTACAACAACAAAAATGTGGAGCACGGTGATACTTCCAGAAAATGAATTTAAATATAATAGTACAGTGAGAAAAATTTGATCAGTCGGTATGAAGTTTCCATGGTTGTTTTTCGGGGTAAATAGTCGTGTATAGTTTGGGATGATCAGCTTAGCATTAACTTTCAAATTGTATGGTTGGTTATTTATAAGAGATTACACTTTGTTTGGAAAAGGTTTAAGGATCTTGTGGTGTGTTATCGGAGCTCTCTGCTTCTTTCTTTCATTTTTCTTTAGTATCCAGTCCCCTCGTCCCCTCTTACGTTTGAAAATAAAATAACAAAAAAAAACACTTTAATGAAGTATCGAAGTGTTTTAGCACAACTGAGGCCCCATTAGGGTTTTTAGGGATACGGGATATTTCGTGGAAAAATTATAGGGATATGGGATATTTAGAAAAGAGATAGTGGGATATCGAACGTCAAAGTTTCCTTTTTTGACAGAATAAAACAGGTTAATTGAACAATATGAAAGACGCCGCGAAAAGTAAAAAAAAGTACTTGCAAATGCGAATTAATGTATTTCCCCATGAAACATTGACAATGTTACCACTCCCAACACCTCCCCCCACCCCCGACATATTTTTACCCAGAAAAACCCTCCCCTCCCCCACCTGGCTTTCTTCAATTTCCCGCCACTTTTGACACTTTCACTCGTGGGCATCAACCTCACAGTTGGCCTTATCATTCGATCATGGCGGCGTTGAAAGTTGACAAAGTTCTTCACGAAGAAACTGCTTGTATTTACAAAGCAGACGAAAAGCCTGCAATGAAATGGTCATTTTTGACCAAAATCGAAAATCATCTTAAGTCAATGATCTTAAGCCAGCATTCCTTAACGTCCTTGACTTGTCTTCACTTACTACCCTTGTTGTGGAGAATCTTTTTGCTGAAATGCGAGAGGGAAATGACGTGCCGTTGGTTCTGCAGTTCTCACACAGACTTT